CCTAAGCTGGGATCCCCAGCCTAGAGTACCAGAGCCCAAAAAGTACACAGATAACAGCCAGCTGTGATAAGTGGCAGGGTTGCTCTCTGCCTCAGACAGATGGTTGGAGATGCAAAGAGCCATTTAAAGGGCCAATGCATAAATTTTCATTTGTAGCCACTTACCCTGTGCTTCAGCAAAGGAAGGGGCAGAGTGGGCTAGAGACGCCTGAGGAAAGACTGGGGATGGTGGCTTTGGGGAGAGAACTCAGAGAGTAGCTGCCGGGATCCTGGTGCTGAGTCATCCTCCATACGGCAGCAGCCATCCTGCTCAGGCAGACCACTCCCCTCCCCTCCATGTGGCATGATGGGTGGGGGAGCAATAGCCTTGACCCCAGGAGGGATTCTGCCCTGCCCTGTGGTGCTTAAGCCTAACTGCAGAGTGCAGAGTGAGTCGATTAACAACTGAAGGAGTCAGTCACAGACAGTAGTTCCCTGGAAGTCTTGAACAGGCTGCCTAAGGTCAGAAGGGGTCACTATCTGACATCACCACAGGCATATCGAGAAAGAAAAAACAGTGATAAATACTAGATGCTACCAAGACGAAATCTACTGTGGTCTTCTCCATGATTTGCTATATTTCCTTTCCTGCATTGCTTTTAATATTCATTTCTTGTCCATCAAGCTTGTGCATATTAAGTTCATAGCAATACAGGCCTACCTAAAAAAGATAGAAACATTTCAAATAAACAACCTAACCCTACATCTACAAAAACTAGAGGAACAACAACAAACAAAGCCCAGAGTGAGTAGAAGGAAGGAAATAATCAAGATCAGAGCAAAAATGAATGACATGGAGACTAAAAGAACAATTCAAAGGGTCAATAAATCCAGGAATTGGTTCTTTGAAAAGATAAATAAAATAGACAAGCCTTTAACCAGACTCCTCAAGAAAAAAAGGGAGAGGACCCAAATAAATAAAATCAGAAATGAAAGAGAGATTACAACTTATACCACAGAAATACAAAGGATTGTAAGAAATTACTACAAACAACTATATGGCAAGAAATTGGACAAGCTGGGTGAAATGAACAAATTTCTAGAAACATATAATATTCCAAAACCGAGTCAAGAAAAAGCAGAAAGTCTGAACAGGTTGACAACAGCTAGTGAAACTGAAGCAGTAATCCAAAAACTTCCGGCACACAAAAGCCCTGGACTGGACTGTTAAACAGGAGAATTTTACAAAACATTTAAGGAAGAGCTAACTCCTATCCTTCTCAAACTATTGCAAAAAAATCCAAGAAGAGGGAAATCTCCCTAACTGTTTTTATGAGGCCAGCATCATCCTAATCCAAATACCAGACCAAGACACAAGAAAGAAAGAAAATTACAGGTCAGTATCGCTGATGAACATAAACACTAAAATCCTCAACAAAATATTGGCAAACCTCATCCAGCAATGCATTAAAAAGATCATGCATCATGATTAAGTGGGATTCATCCCAAGGATGCAAGGATGGTACAATATACACAAATCAATAAACGTAATATGTCACATAAGCAAAAAGAAAGACAAAAATCACGTGATCATATCAATAGCTGCAGAAAAAGCATTCGATAAGGTACAGCACCCATTTATGAGAAAAACACTCAGCCAAGTGGGAGTAGAGGGAGCATACATTAACATAATAAAGGCCGTATATAAGTGACCTACAGCCAACATCATACTTAATGGGCAAAAACTAAAAGCTTTCCCACTGAGACTGGGAAGAAGACAAGGATGTCCGCTTTCATTGCTTCTATTCAACATAGTATTGGAAGTCCTAGCCACAGTGACCAGGCAAGAAAAAGAAATAAAAGTCACCCAAATTGGAAAGGAGGAAGTAAAACTGTCATTGTTTGCAGATGACATTATAGTGTACATAGAAAACCCTATAGACTCCACCGAAAAACTACTCGACCTAATAAATGAATCTGGCAAAACAGCAGGATACAAAGTCAATATTCAGTAATTGAAGGGATTTATAAATTTTATTAAAAAATAAAAGCATCTTCAAAATTAAAAAATGCTAAAGAGAATTCTTGAAGCTCAAATAAAAGGACAGTGATTAGTAGCATGAAAAAAATATGAAAGTATATAACTCACTGGTAATGATACATAGACAGTCAATTCAGACTACTGTGGTAATATAATGTTGGTGTGTAAATCACTTAACTTTAAAGTTTAAAAGGCAAATTTGTTAAAAATAACTACATCTAAAATAATTTATAATGCATATATATTATAAAAGGATATAAATTGAGACATGAAAAACATAAAATGTGGAAGGGGTAAGGAGAAGATAAGTTTTGTATGTGATCAAAATGATTATCAACTTAAAATAGACTGTTACAACTACAAGATATTTTATGTAAGCCTCATGACAACCATGAAGCAAAAACCTACAATACATAAACAAAAGATAAAGGGAAAGACAACAAAACATATCACTAATGAATATTATCATATAATAAAGGAAGATAGCAAGAGGAGAAGAAAGGAACAAATGAAACACAAAAGTTATTAAAAATTAATAAGATGGAAATAGTAAATCCTTAACTATTAACAATTACTAATATCATCAAGTTCTCCTCACAGTCAACAAATCTATCATGAAAATCAAAGGACTAAGGTTTTAGCAGACTAAGTCAAAGCCAAATTTCTGAAATCACAGAGCTCAAAGAATTGTCAATATAAAATTCAGGAAATAGGCTATAAGCATCTATATCAGAAAAAAACAATGAGAAGAACTGCAGCAGGTATTTCTTCAACATTGAAGTTGGGAGATAGTTTTTGGAAAGGAGTGGAGAAGGTGGAGCACAGGGTTACACCCAGGTATCTTGCTTGTGTGACTAAACAGAAGAACAGGTTTGGGAAGAAGTGGATAAAGTGGTAAATATTTTCTGATCAGTCAATCAAGAGGAGAAAGAGAAAGCTGGGAACCAGCAGATTAAGAGACCATAACTATATTTCATAGCTGTACAATTTTAATCACTGAATTGCCTGAGAGTCATTTTAGTGTCAAGCAAAAAGGGGGCTAGCAATACAGTAGAACTGTGTATTATCATGAGGCTAGTTCCATTTATTGTGCTTCTGTTGCAACAACAACCATAACAGCTAACACTGAGTGATGATGTAAGGGTCTGTGCTGTGTGCTTTACATATACTTTTCATTTTAATGTTAATATTTTAATCCCAAACACAATAGAAACATAATTAGCACAATAAAGCCCTTCTCGTGCACCTTGAGAGAGGCAAGAAAAAATTGATGTTAAACATAGCACAAATAAACTTCATAAAGTTATTTCTGAACATCTACCTTAGAGACATCCATGTCTTCTCTCTCCAACTCTTCAATCCCTTGAGAGCTACTATACCCTGCCCCATTTTCCCTATCTACCAACCAGGAACCTCTTCAGTCTCCTATTTGTATGCTCACCCATCATTTTCAAAAAGGATGGCAATTTAATTCTCTCTCAGATCTTTATTATAGTATCCTCACACACAGAAACAAGTTCCACAACATAGTACCTCCTTCTTTAGGACTCATACCCCTTAAAATACAATAGAAAAATAAAAGTAACAGAATTTCCTTTTCTCTCTCAAATATTTAAAGATATACTCTGTCAATAAGTTAACCACACACTACATTTCAGATAAAAACCCAGTGCAAAAACTGGGGAAACATCTCCAGGATGAGGAGCTGCAAAGTGTTAGAGAATGGGACCTGTGTAGAGCTGGTCCATAGTAAAAGAAACAAGAGAGAACTCGTGGAATATTAAGACTCTCTGTACTTCTGTTTCTGTGAGCATCAGCACCAGATGTCTATATATTTGGATCATGGCTCTGTCACATACTATCTGTGTTACACTTTTCACATCTGTAACATAAGAAATGTAATATTTTTTGAAAACATTTTTGAAATGATTAAACAAGAAAATATGTATAAAGTAAATATAAAGCACAATATATTTTATGCAGTGTTAGTATTTCATAAAACTATTTTAAATGTTTATAATTTCATAATACTGGTTATTTTTCATTTTATTTACATATACAGTAACTATCTATGTCAAGTAATAATATTTTTTAATTTTTGCAGTGATATAAACTTTCATTTAAAAATAATTGACTTAAGTTAAAATAAGTGATTCAATCATAAGTATATCAATTAAAAATAGAGTTGCTGTGCAAACAAGGAAAGAATCTTAAAGACATTAATTATATGGATGACTGAGATTTGGAAAAATGACATTCTATATCATAGTATGATAAGAACTGTGCTATGTAGGATGCCACAGAAAAACAAATGCAAGTTTTGCCCCTTTAATACCTCACAGCTATCTGGAAGGGTTTACTTGGTAACTGAGACATAGAAATCACATATATAATGTACTTTATTTTTAAATATTTATGTATTTATTAGAGAGAGGGAAGGGAGGGAGAAAGAGGGAGAGAAGCATCGCTGTGAGAGAGAAACATTCATCTGCTAAGCACGTGCCCTGACCGGAATCAAACTGGCAAGCTTTCACTTTGCAGAATGAAGAATAACCAAGTGATCCACACCAGTCAGGGCTGTAATATCTTTTTAAAATAACATCCACTATACTAAATCCACATTGGAAAGTGTGTAGTAATGGAGGGTTGTCTTATTAGAGTCACTACCCAAAACGCCTTATTTCAATAAGCATTCAATGATGCGTACTAAGCTTCAGGCCTTATTCTGGATGTTTGATATGTAAAAACCAATGAAATATATTCCTTGCCATCAAAGATCTTAAAGTCAATGGTGGGTGGGAGGAGGCAGACACAGAAACATAAAAGTTCAACAAAGGGCAGGAAGTGCTGAATTATAAATTAAGAAAGGTCCCAGTGTGAAACCAAAAGAAGGACAAAGAAGAAGAGGAGTCTAGTATATATAGGAAAATAGCATAGTCACAGAAATAGAACAAAAACCATGACAGAGTAAAAATGCTCACCTGTACTTGACAATTCCATTGATCAGTGGGTTCACATCCACAATTCTGTTGATATAAGCCTGAACGACATCTATGCATTTCACCTGCAAAGTACAATAATTTATTTGAACAGGTGTTTATTTAAAGAACAATTTATCAATTTAACAAGTATTGAACAAAAGCATCCTGTGTGCATTAATCACTTTTTATTTGGGACATCTTCAATGAATTATCTAGTGCAGTCCACTGTGAGGAGGTAAAAGATGTCTACTTTGAAGCTAAAAAAATCAGAAATATACCAGTATTAGGAGGCTCTGAACAAGGAATATGGATAAAAGACATAAACTCCCCTCTAAGTAAATAGAAATTGGAGTCCTGATATATTATGTTTATATACTCAACTAGTAAGTATTTATCTAATACATCACTAGTATGATGATGGATATCAATTTTTAGTAATACCCTGAAACTTAACATCATACATCATCTTTGAAAAATCCAGGAGTTGAGGAGTGCATTAAGGCAGAGTTTCCAGATTAAAAAAAAAATAAAGGACACCAAGTTAAATTTTAATTTCAGATGAATAGCAAATACTTTTACTATAAGTAGGTCTCAAATATTGCATGAGTATCATTTTACTAAAAATCATTTATTGTTTATCTGATATTACAATTTAACTGGGTGTTCTGTATTCTTTTTTGCTAAATCTGGCAACCATAGGCCAAGGGTCTTAGGTTAGGAATCTGAGGAAGAATAAGACAAGTAAGACATCTGGGGGATGGATTAGTGTTTATTTATTATATACAATTGTAGTTTTAATGATAATTCTTATACATGGGACAATAAGCATTAGGAAATTAAAAAGCAAAGTAGAGTTTCCAAATAAAGAGGAAAGAAAATAAAATGAAAAGAAACTAGATCAAGCCGGAAAAAGTAAAGGAAAAAAGAAAGTAAGCATGATAAATTGTAAACATTTTATCAAATGGAAGGAATTAAACAAAGTATATCATGCTAAGCGAAGACTGAATTCCTCTATCAGAGGGCGAGACATCAAATTTGGTTTAAAAACAAAGCTCAGCCCTGACCAGTGTGGCTCAGTGGGTTGGGAGTTGTTTCACAAAGTGAGAAGTCCCCAGTTCAATTCCCGGTCATGGCACATGCCTGGGTTGAGGGGTTCAGACCATGGTCAGTACATGTACAAGAGGCAACCAATTGATGTTTCTCTCTCACATTAATGTTTCTCTTCCTCTCTTTCTCACTTCTTTCCTCTCTAAAAATAAATAAATAAAATCTTTAAAAAACCAAACAAAGCTCAGCTCAGCTATACATTGTTTATAAGTAATTCACCCAGTACAAAGAGACAATGAAAGTTTAAAAATAAAAGAATGGTCAAAGATATATTAGGTAAATATAAACAACAAGAAAGCACAGGTGGTACCATTAATATCAGATAAAGCATATTTCAAGACTGAAATATGAAATGATACAATCCATTAAGATTATATAAGTCATATACTTTTTTTGTATTAAAAAAGCAGGCAAATATATAGAGCTTAAATTCTTAAGTCTATAAAGAAGATTCGACCAGAAATATAAGTATAGTAACAGATAATATAGCTCTTTCAGAAACTGACAAATTAAGTAATCAAATATAAGGTGATATCCAGAAAATTAATAATACAGTCAATATGTTCAAGTACATACAGAGAACTTTAATTCCATCAAGAGGAAATACTCTTTTTGTTCATGAACCGTGAACAGAAGATGATGATGTAGTCACAAAGAATACCTTAAATCACAAAGGCAGTAACAGTTTATATCAATTAGGTCAATCATCATAATCCCGTAATACTAGAAAACTAAAGTGAGAAAAGCATAATTTTAAGAAGGTTTAACTATTTCAAAAAAACCGTCTTCCATGTAACCAATGAGTCTAAGAGGTAAACAAAATTAAAATTAAAAATTATCCAGACATTCACAAAAGGGGAAACATTTATTGTTGACACTAATACAGATGTTCCCATTTTCCCCCCTTTGTTCACCTCTACCAATCTCCTGCCCCTCCTTCTATGTGGCCATCTCCACTCTATTGTCTGTGTCTACAGGTTATGCATATAGGTTATTTGGCTAATCCCTTCACCTTTTACATCCATGCCCCACTCCCACCTCCCCTCTGACAGCTGTCAGTCTGTTCCATGTGTCCATGCCTCTGTTTCTATTTTGTTTGTCAGTTTATTTTGTTCATTATATTCCATATCAGCGAGAGCATATGGTATTTGTCTTCCTCTGACTGGCTTATTTCACTTAGCATAATGCTCTCCAGTTCCATCCATGCTGTTGCAAAAGGTAAGATTTTCTTCTTTTTATGGCCGTGTAGTATTTCCTTCTTTTTTGTGGCTCAGTAGTATTCCATTGTGTAAATATACCACTGCATTTTTATTCACTCATCTACTAACAGCACTTGTGCTGTTTCCAGGTCTTCTATTGTAAATAATGTTGCTATAAACATGGGGGGTGCATATAATCTTTCAAATTGGTGTTTCAGGAATCTTAGGCTATATTCCCGGAAGTGGGATTGCTGGATCAACAGGCAGCTCCATTTTTTTGCCTATATGGTCAATTAATATTTGACAAAGTTGGCAAGAGCATACAATGGAGTAAAGACAGTCTCTTCAATAAATGATGTTGGAAAAATTGGACAAATACATGCAAAAAATGGAACTAGACCACTAACTTACACGATACAGGAATAAATGCAAAATGGGTAAAAGACTTAAATGTAAGCTATGAAACCATAAAAATCCTAGGAGAAAACCTAGGCAATAAAACCTCAGACATCTCTCATAGCAAAATTTTTGCCTATATGTCTTCTAGAGCAAGGTAAATAAAAGGAAAAAATAAACAAACAGGACTACTTTAAACTAAAAAGCTTCTACACAGGAAAAGAAAACATCAACAGCCCTGGCTATCATGGCCCAGCAGACTGTGTGCCAGCCTGCAAACCAAAAGGTCTCAGTTTTGATTCCCAGTCAGGGCACATGTTTGAGTTGTGGGCCAGATCCCCAGTAGTGCTTGAGAGGCAACCACACATTGATATCCCTTTCTTTCTCCCTTCCTACCCTTCTCTCTAAATATAAATAAATAAAATCTTTTTTTTAAAAAAAGAAATCAACAAAATGAAAAGGGGTTAATTTCCAAAATATATAAAGAACTTCTACACCTCAACACCATGAAAGACAACAACCCAGTTAAGAAATGGGCAGACAACCTGAATAGACAGTTCTTCAAAGAGGACATACAAATGGCCAACAGACAAATGAAATAATTCTCAACATCACTAATTATCAAAGAGATGCAAATTAAAACTACAATGAGATTCCACCTCACACTTGTCAGAATGGCTACCATCAATAAATCAACAAACAACAAGTACTGGCAAGGATGTGGAGGAAAGGGAACCCTCACACAGTGTTGGTGGGAATGCGGATTGGTGCAGGCGCTATGGAAAACAGTATGGAGTTTCCTGAAAAAAATTAAAAAGGAACATTTCTTTTTTTAAGTATATTTTATTGATTATGCTATTACATTTGTCCCAATTTTTATCCCTTTGCCCCTTCTGCCCATTACCTGCCTTCCTTCCAGCAATCTTCGCCTTAGTTCATTCATGTCCATGGGTCATACATATAAATTCTTTGGCTTCTCCATTTCCTATACTATTCTTAACATCTCCTGGTATATTTTCTACCTACCAGTTACGCTTCTTAATCCCTGTACCTTTTCCACTATTCTCCCCCCTCCCCGCTGATAACTCCCCATATGATCTCCATATGTACTATTATATTCCTTTTCTATTTCTATGCTTTGTTTTTTTTCTTATCAAAACCTGTAGAATACAGCTAATGCTGTTCTAAATGTTTATTTCCATAAAAATAAAAAGACGATATAAGCTATCCAACTTGAAATAATAGGAAAATAAAGTAAATGAAAAAGGGAATTAAAATGAAATGAAAAAAGTATGAGGAAATAAAGATAAAATTTAACCACAAAAATAGCAAAAGTAACAACAAATCCAGTTTAAAAGGATCATTAAAAAGCAAATTTTAAAAACCTATAAAACTGAAAAATCCTGACAAGCATAACAGAGAAAGAGGACAGGGAAAGAGAGAAAAATGAGCTAATACTAAGAATGACAAAGAAAATATACTATAGATACAGGGGAGACTGAAAAAAATAAGAGAATGTTACATGTATGCTTTCTACTGGGCTAACTGTTACTTGTCCTTTAGAATTGTATACCTAGTAGTTTCTTAGTAAATATTTTCTAAATGCATGCATGAATAGTGATTTCAATCTTCATAAATCAATTCTCTAGTCCAGTGATTTTCAAACGGTATGCTGCAAGGATTTTTAAAACATTCAATACCTGACTACTTTTCAGGGGTACTGACCTCTTTTCCCTTAGACTGTCAAATTAAAAATTACAACAGTCAATATGATAGCCATCTGGTGTGAATAAATCTAAATTTTCTTCAGATTGGCAAAAAAACATATTTTTTGGTGTGCCACAGAATTTTAGTAATTTGTTTATGTGTGCCGTGAGATGAAAAAGGTTGAAAATTGCTGCTCTACTCTAGTGTACAAACATCTCCAGAGTTAAGGGCCTAAGTGACAAGCCAAAGCTTTAAGCCTGGACACTCCACCAAAGTATACAACTTCACAGATCTTCAAAAGCTCCAACTGCTACTCTAACTGAACTTGTAGTATGGAGAATATGACCCAGCCAAGCAACAACAAACACAAATGGACATTAGAGGTAGAGTGTAATACAATAACTGCTATTTGCTGTACACTTATTATGTGCCATACATTTTACATCTGTTAATGTCATGAAATCCTCCATCAACACATGTAATATCCCCATTTTATAGATGAAGCCATTGAAGCTAAATGAGGTTACATTAACCCTTTTGGCACAGGAAAAATGAAGAATATGTAAATGGTTAGAAAATTCAATCACTACAGAAAGGTACAAATGAAAATTGAAATCCATTCTCTCTCCTTTTCTCGTTCCCTACCTCCCTCCCTCCCTCCCTCTCTCCTCTCTCAACCTCCCTTATACTCCTTATACAGAGGAATCATATTGTATTCATTGTTCTGCATTTTTTACCATTTAACATAATTTAATACTATTTCCATATCAATTTCTTTAGATCTACTTTACTGTTGTTAATGGCAGCACCATATTCTTTTTAAACTAAATTTATTAGGGTGTCATTGGTTAATAACATTATGAAAATTTCAAGTGTACAATTCTATAACACATCATCTGTATATTGCATTGTTTGCTCACCACCCAAAGTCTACTCTCCTTCTTTTTATTTTTTAATTAATTGTCTATTTATATTGTTTATGTTATTACAGTTCCTGTTTTTCTCCCTTTCCCCACCTCTGCCCAGCCCCACCCTGCCCTCTCCCTAAGCCAGTTCTCATATTGTTGTCTATGTCCTTGTGCTTGAATGTTCTTTGGTTAATCCCTTCACCATCTTTCATCCTGTCCTCTCCCCTCATCTCCCCCTCTCTCACCCCACAACTGCCAGTCTGTTTGATGTATCTAAGTTTCTGTCACTATTTTGTTTGTTAGTTTACTGTGTTCATTAGATTCTACATATAAGTAAGATCATGTGGTATTTTTCTTTCACTGACTGGCTTAATTCACTTAGCATAATATTCTCCAGGTCCATCCATGCTATTGCAAAATGTAAGAATTAGTCTCCTGCTGTCACCATATATTTGACTCCATTTTCCCTCTTCATCTTCTCTCCATTTCCCTTTCCCTCTGTTAACCACTGTCCTTTTGTCTCTATGAAATGTTTTCTTTGATTTTTGCTTTCTGTTTTATATCCCACATAGGAGTCAAATCACAAGGCCTTTGTCCTATTCTGTCTGACTTATTCTATTTAGCATGGTAATCTCAAGATCCTTCCATGTTATCACAAATGGTAGTATTTCATCCTTCTTTATGGCTGATACTTAAATAAAAAGTGAAAATTTTTTTCTAATTTCTTCATTAAGTATGGATTATATTAATGTAAATAGATAATATAAGCACATATGTTTCAAAAATCCAAAGGTAAAAAAAAGTATACAAAGAAGTCCCTTCCCACACATCTCCTAACATTCCCCCATAGTTCCCCTCCCTGTTTTGGTGCATTTTTCCAGAGAAAGAGAGAGAAAGAGAGAGGGGGATAAAAGATATTTTTCATACAAATGATAGTATATTACATAAATAGCTTCACACTTTGTGTTTTTAAATTCAACATTGTATCTTGGAACTTATTTCATATCCTGTACATAAAAAGTCATTTTATTCTGTTTTATTTGTTATATAATTTTAAAGTGTGTGTATATATACTATATCAAATTTAATCAGACCCTGATTTGCTTTTACAAGCATTTGCTATTAAAAACAACATATGAGGAAATCCTCATTTACATGTCATTAGGTCACTTGTGAGTGGGACTTATGTCTTTAAAACGTCATCACCTTTGGGATCACCAACAAAATCAAACTTCCAAGTGTACAGAAACTATGGTCTATTAATGGATGGTGGTGACAATGATAGATTGATGTCCTTTTATAAAGTCCAACTTTGGAGGCCAACTGAGGCTGTGGAAGTTCAGATGAAATAGTGATAGCTTGGATTCTGAATAATGAAACAGAGACTATGTAGGAATCCAAGGCCAAAGCACATATAGAGTTGACATTCACTCATAGGAAACTAATGGTTCAGAGAGCTGGCTCTCAAGAAGGATAACTCTTTCATGAAGTAATATATACATGCAATCAAATTGGACTGGCTCTTTCACTTTCTAGCTGTATTGCATTGGACAAGTTACTAGAGAGACCTAAACTTTGCTTTCCTCATCTGTAAGATGGTGATAATTATGTATATCTCAAACAGTTGTTATAAAAATAGAATTTTTACACATGTAAGCAAAATATTTACCTTAGCAGTGTGAATGTGGATCATGAGAATGGGTTTGATAAAACCAAAATAAAGTCGCAGGGACAACAAAACAAAACAAAACAAATCTCCCAATAAAGACGAGCATCCATGATTGTATTTTCCTGCTTCCTACTGGAAGATAAGGCTAAAGCCTATAATATTAGTTAACTTTTATTGAACATATGTTAAGTATTTCATAGCCATTATTCCATTAACTATTCGGACAACTTTATGAAGTAAGTACTATTTTATGACCATTTTACAAGTAAGGAATCTGAAGCTCATAGAGGTTAAGTCATGTACCCAAGTCCTGATCCTTCGGAGAAATAAAAGGCAAACCTTTGGCTTTCAGATACATTAGGAAAACAGATAGTGACTTAATGGTTGTTTTTTTTTTCAGTATATTTTATTGATTATGCTACTACAGTTGTCCCATTTTTCCTCCCCTTTATATACCCTCTCCCACCTGCATCTCCCCCCCCCCCGCTTAGTTCATGTCCATGGGTCGTACATATAAGTTCTTTGGCTTCTTTAAGCCTACAGTTATTAGTATAAAGACTAAAGGAAACAATTGTTATCCTGACAGCAAAGTCAGGGTAGGAAAATAGGAAAATACCTGAATTTTCTGAGGTAGGTCTCAAGGCAAACTGAAGATACTAGAACTTTAGAACCTTCCTTCACCTATTGTAAGAATTTACCCTTTTATGTATTCACACATCAAAAGATAGCACTTTAATCCATGTGGGTAACATCTTAGCGAGTATATACAGTCTGTAGGAGTAAATACTCTTTAAGTAGATAATAGTGTCAAATCCCTCATACTTACACTTCCATCTTGATCTTAGAGTAATTTCTGGCTGGTTAATATGAGAATTAGAGATAAAATATACAAAATTCCGAGTACACAGTAAGCACTCTATAAATGGTATTTAGGTTATTTCTTCTAGAACTCTAGACCAAAAATGCAACTGAAAGTGACCCAGTCTCACATAAAAAAACAGGTCAAATCAACATTAATTTTTTTAATGGCTTTCTCCTAGCCCCTAGCAGTAAGACTGAAAGGAAGGAAGCTTTCTCAAACATTAAATGGTCCAGGGCAGAGTTTATCATTCTTTGTACTATTGACATTGTGAGCCAGTTAATTGTTATGTAGTGGACTATCTTACACATTTTATTATGTTTAGCAGCATCCATGGTCTCTACCCACTCAAAGCAAAAGCACACCCACCCCGCTGTGACAACCAAAAATGTCAACAGGTATTGTTACATGTCCCTTAGAGGACAAAAGTGCCCCCAACTGAGAACCACTGCTCTAGAAAAAGGAAGGAAGTATAAAAGAAAGAACCAAAAGAAGTTGTTAATATCTACATCGACAGAGGTAGAAGCTTGGAGGGACTGAAGGAGAACTAGGACAAATAATACTGTATCCTTTCTACTGCTTACCTTCAGGACAGTTATATAAAGTATATGTAAATAATCTCTTTTCATGGGTAAGTATAACATATTAATAATGGCTATGATTTCTAAAAACCTGATGATAGTAATAATAGTAAGAAATATTGGATTATTATGCCAGGTGGTGTTTTTAAGAGTTTTACATATCTGAACTTAACCCTCACAACACCTCTTTAAGATAGATTCTATTGTCATGTCTATTTTTTAGAGATTTCATTTATTTATTTTTAGAGAGAGGGGAAAAGAGGAAGAGAGGGAGAGAAACATCAATGTGTGGTTGCATCTTGTGTGCCTCCTCCTGACTCACAACCCAGGTATGTGCCCTGACTGGGAATCGAGCCCGTGATCCTTTGGTTCACAGGCTGACACTCATTCCACTGAGCCACACCAGCCAAGGCTATCATGTATATTTTTATTGCAGGATATCAGAGGCACAAAAAGAGTTATAGGAAGTTTCGAAGACTGCATAGTTAAATGGGAGATCCATGATTTCTCAATCCAGGCAGACTAGCTCCAGAGTCCATCCTTCTGATCACTATGCTACACCATCTACTTGTGTGCCAGGTGCTTGACATGCATTATCTGCAATTGTCATGGCAGCCCTTGCCGAAGGTCACAGAGCTCTGAAGACGGAGACCAAAACTTGAAACCTACTGTCTTTCCACTACATCTCACTCCACAATTGTTAGTAAAAACATGCATGGGGGGACAAAAGGTTAGGACGGGATACAGGCAAAAGGCAGGAAATGCCATTGAAAGGTTATCAGGACTGTAAAAAAAGCATTCTAGATTATGGTAATAAAACAATGAAGAAAAACAAATGAGACAGCAGAGGGATAAAGACAAGAGTGAAATAAAGAAAGAACACTAGACTATAACCCAAGGTCTCTAGGGAACTAACTATTCATATGATAAGAGAAATAAATGGTCTTGCTTGCACAACTCAAGAGAGAGAACAATTGTTGGAGCTGTTTAAATCTTTGGATTAATAATTTCCACTCATTTTTGTGTATTTGTACAAATCATTTTAACTTGGGTTCCTCATGTGTAAAATGGGGATATTACCTAAAGAATTGCATCAGTAAGACATAATATGTTTAAGTACCCTGCACAGCATTTGACATGGCTGTGCACTAAATATATGGTAGCTAAAACTATTATTATCCTAGGGCAGGTATACCTACAGCAGGTACTTATTTTTTAATATAAAAATCCCTTGAACAAGAAGCAGCAGATAGGGCACAAGCGGGGAGTTCAAGGAGTAATGAATTTCCCTCAGAATCAGTTTGTAAACCACACCTAATTTATCCCCGCACAATTATTACAAACAGAACAAATGGACAATAAGGAATATGAGGGGTGCCAAAATGGTCCAGCTGATACCTACAGCATATGTTCTGGGTATAAACATACTACAACTCCCAGAAGTCTCCTTTTACCCCCAATGAATGCCTCTCTTCTGTCGCCCTAGCAGAGGGTGGAAAAGAAATTGATTTCCGCGAAATCCAAACTCGTTAGCACAAAAACAACCACCACAAAACTTCCTGGAGTTTAGTTCCACTAAAAGACCCGTCTCTCCACCATCTTTTGAATCAGCCCGCGTTGAACTCTCACCTTCCTCTGTCGGATCAGCTTGGCCAGCTGCACCCCTGAAAGCAGTAGCAATGGTTCGATCACAGGCGGTGTGGTCACTGAGCCAAACTTGGGGCCGCCAAAGGCTCGAGCTGCTTTACCTATTAGGCCAATGAGAAAGCCCATCGTCTGCAGAAACAGCAACTGGATTCTTGCGGTAAGCAGAGGTGCCATAGCGGCCTGGATTCCTCACGGTCCTAGTGCTTGAGAGTTGCGTGCACCCTGAGCAAAATAAGGACAAAAGACTAAGCAGGGAGGTGTTTAAGAATCCTTTCATTTACAAGTCCGATATCTACCCAGAATTCCACAGGAGCTCGTTAGTCATTACCTGCTGAGTTGTGGGCCAGAGATGGGGGCGGAGTAAAGCCTTCCCAGCAGCTGCCTGTGTGTAATGCAACCCATTGTTAGTGCTATTGTAACCCAACCCAGAAAGTGAGAGATAAGAAAGAACACTGGCTTCAGAGTTGCTAGTTCTGGCACTAGCTGGCCTTGGCCTATTTACACTGTTTTCTGTACTCAACTCAAATGAAAAATGGGAATAATTACTCTTACATCAAAGATTTATGCTAAAAACTAAATAATTAAACAGCACTATTCATGGCAAATGGCATAAGTGGTAGTTATCATTTATTTCAGTTTTTCCTGTGAAAAAGTATTGTAAGTATACCTTTGCATGTAAATATTCAGTATGTTCAACAACTAAATAACAAGCATATACATATTATCTATATCCTTATTATTTTATCCTTATAAAGTCACAGATAGTACTGATGAATAAAAAATATCTAGCCCACGTCTCTCTCTTAAACTCCAGATAATTGAATTGAATGCCTGTTTGACATTTCCACATGAATATCTCATAGGTCCTTCAAATTTAAGTCCAAAACTAATCGTCTTTCCAAACCTGTTACTCTTGCAGGTTCATAAGCGGCATTTCATCCACCCTGTCAGCCATGCCAAATCATCTCAGATGCTTCCTTTTCTCTCATTCTCATGAATAGACACCAAGTCCAGTTCATAACTTTCCTTCCTGACTTAGCCATAGTTCAGATCTCACTGATGTTTCCATGAACTTCTACAAATAACCAACTGATTACCCTGCCTTCATTTAGAGCGTTCTTCCTAATACACAAATTTGACCCTGTTACTTCCCTGCCAATGACTCTGCAATGATCACCCACTTTCTTCAGGTTCAAGCCCCATATACTTTGTCTGGCATTCAAATATCTAATTATTGATATCTGCAAACCTCTGTGCCTCATCCTTAGCCCATTCTATTCCTCACATGCTAGGCTTCTGCCAAACTAAATGGTTTCTCCTCCATATCTTTGCATATGCTTTCCCCACTCCCTCTCCATCTGGCTCAGGACAAGTACTACTTCCTTCAAGAAGTCTTTCCTGAATGCCAAACTAGGTTTCATGCCACGCCACACTCCACAGATTAACAATATCACAACACTTATAACCCTCTATTTCCATGGTAGGGTTTTCTCTCTACTCCTCATCTAGATGTGAATAAAATCACTCTAATTATTCTTTGTATTGTCAGGGCCCAACATAGGGCTTGTCATGCAGTCACTACAAGTTTGTAGGTTGAAGATATGAATTTATGAAAAATGAATGTTGAACATAGGCTTTGAGCTTGGCATTTAAGGCCTTGAGTATGTGAAATGTAAAGGTCATCCCAGGAACTATTTTTCCATTTGTATAGCTAAGTTGGATGCTAAAAGGTATCAGTCACAGAGCTTCTAGCCTAGTTGGAAGCTCCCAGTGGAATGCAGGTGAATCATGATAGGCACATCTGACAGATCCACTAAACAGCTGACAGAGTAGATTGTCACAATCTAGGCTCCATGATAGTTTTGAGCAGAAGCTGTTGCTGAGTGAATCTTCTTTATCAGGGAGAGTCTTTGCCAAGGTCAAAGTCTTTCATCTGCCTAACTTTTTTATTTACATTGTAAATAACCATTATCTGAGTCTGTGGTGCAAAGAATGCCCACTTAGAAAGCACTGACCAATAGATCTGGGTTCAAATTCTATAATCCAAGTCTTAAACTTACCTCACACACACATTCTTGTACAAATCACTTACTCTCTTTGAGTGTGTTTGCTCATCTATAAAATAAGAATAACAGCTACATCATGGTGTTATAAAGAGTATATTAAATATGTATGTAAAGATCCTACAGTGACTTTCCAATGCATTACAGCACTTTAAATTTGTTTGTACTGGGCAAAGAAACACAGCCTAAGTTTAAAAAAGAGAAATGGGAAAAATTACGTTTTGTCCCAAAGAGGAAGAAGAATGCAAAATACCGTTTGCGTGTGTGTGGTTTGGGGGGAGGGGCGTTGTAATCTCCCTGTTAAAGTCAGGTAGGATTTATGTTATTTCACAATCCATTTAGCAATCAATGGTGGAGGCTCAAGAGTCATCCTTGACTCCTTCCTAAACTTCAGTTTCCACTATCAATCTTATATATTAGTGTGCTTGCAATCTGTTTTCTACTCTCTATTTATACTGCTACTATCTGAGTTATGTAGTAATTTCTTAACTGGTGCTATGCTCTCTCAATCTGTCCCTGTTCAAAACCATTTACTATACTTATATTTTTTTCTGATAAAGTAGTTTTTGTTCTTATATATACTGTGTATATTTGGCCTGTCTTTTATATCCTCATGAAAGTAGGCATTATCATTTTTATAATTTTATAAGTGAATAATTGATTTTCAGTGTTGTTCAAATTTATATTTATTTAATTTAGAGTAATGATGAACACCTTTATAAATATGATTATGAGTCATTTGCATCTCTTCTATTTTCATTTTTCTGTTCACATCCCCTGCCAATTTTTCTATTGAGTTATCTTTTTAAAAATTTATTTGTAAGTGTTCTTAATTTAGTGAGAGTATTAACCTTATATATACCTTACATGTTTATAATATTTTACCCAATGAGTTGTTTTTCATTTAATATTATTAAAAGTTGTGTTAAAACATAAAAATAGTTTACATACTTGTGCAAACAAACCTGTTGGACTTTTCTGTTGTGATTACATTCACCAGTATTGTCTTTAGTATCTTTTCTCAACTGTTTATCAATTAACAATTCATCTATATTATCCCTTTTGGGGGGATTTTTTTTTTTGCAGGAAGTTTTTTCTACTTTGTAGATAAATAATAGCATGGAGTTCAGACCATTAAGGGCAGGATGAATGCTGACTTTCCAATTTTTACTTCCTGCCAATTCCTCACACACACATTATTTTCTCCAACTATACCAAACTACTTGCAACTTCCTAAAACAGTGGTCTACAAACTGCAAGTGCTATATAAAATATTGGTAATTAGCATGCTCCCTAATATGTATGTACATATTTGTGTATAGCCTACACTGAACTGTGCTAATACAAATATTAAGGTTGTATCCTATGGACAAATATAAAATGAACATTATGAAATACAAAGAAATAAATAAATTGAAGTATATGATTTTTTTAAAGTCCTAGTATTTTTACACACTCCAGTACATTATCCTGCGCACTCATGGAAGTATTACTCACAGTCCCCCCTACCGTGAAGATCCTGACCTAAACTACGTATGCTATATTACAGTCCTTTGGCTGGTGTCTACTTTCAGCCCCCTTCTTTCTGTACCCCTGAAACATATACAACTATTTAAATTTTAAGACTCAACTCAGACACAATACCTTTTAGGAAGCTTTTTCTTCCTACTACCATCCTAAGTCTGATTAGATACTCTTACTTTGCATTTCTAAACCACATGTTGCCCCATCATAGCACTCAGTACACTGTGCTGTAATTAAATATCCTCCTCTCCAAAAGAGTGAAAAGTCCCTATGGTAAGCACCCAATCTTAGTCATCTCTATACTACCAGAACCTGGAACATGGTAGGCACTCAGAATGTTGATTTAATAATTGAATGAGTGGATGGAACTATGATAATTTTGTTTGAGAACTCCTAACAGTGTCTTCTCACATGCATACAAAATACTCAACCCACTACCACCCACATAAACACAACCATATATGCATATTTTCATATACTCATTTCAATAAGCATATGAAACGTTACACATGAATGCACGCATACAGAATCCCAGATATGAAAAAACAAAATTATTCCTGCTACCCTTTCACAAATCCCAATATAAAAGCAAACATTATGCCTGAGTAACCACGAACATCAGGTTTCGGGTAGGCAAAGTTTGCGTGGCTTGATAAATGGTAACGAAACAGGTAAATGAATAAGAAATGATAGAGTTTTAAATGCACACACACCTTCCACCCATAAAATTTGTTTTTTGAATATTTTTATATATTTTTAATTTATTTAAATACATTTTATATATTTCATATTTTAAAATTAAATTTTATTTTGAGATAACTTTTTATGTAATAGAATGCCAATTAAAAAAAAACCCTTCATAGACACAGATAACAGTATGGTGATTACAAGAGGGAAAGGAGAGTGGGGGAGATAGAAGAGGGTAAAGTGGGGAAACTTGACTTGGGGTGGTGAATATACAATATAATATATACATGATATATTATAGAATTGTACACTTGAAATATATATATATAATTTTGTAACCAATGCCACTCCAATAATTTCAATTAAAAAACAAAAAATAGCCTTGGCTGTTGTGGCTCAGTGGATTGAACTCCAACCTGTGAACCAAAGGGTCACCAGTTCAATTCCCAGTCGGGGCACATGCCTGGGCTGTGGACCAGGTCCCCAGTGTGGGGCATGCAAGAGGCAACCAGACATGGATGTTTCTCTCCCTTTCTTTCTCCCTCCCTTCCCTTCAGTCTAAAAATAATAAATAAAATATTTTTTAAAAAATAAATATATTTTATATAGTTTTATTTAAATATATTTTATATATTTATATATTTTAAAATATTTTATTTATTTATTTATTTATTTATTTAGAGAAGGGAAGGGAGGGAGAGAAACATCAATGTGTGGATGCATCTTGGACACCCCTTACTGGGGACCTGTCCTGCAACCCAGGCATGTGTCCTACACTGGGAATCGAACCAGCAACCCAACTCTTTGGTTCTCAGGCCAGGGCTCAATCCATTGAGCCACATCAGCTAGGGCTATATTTTTATATTTTTAACTTAACCTTTTTGAGATAATTTTTTATGAAACAGAATGCCAATTTCTGTTTTATGAAAATACATGCACACAAACCAGCAGATCATATTTTACTAGAATGAAAATAAAAAGATAGATGTAAGCCTTGGCTGGCGTGGC